TCAGAAGCAGAAAGTTAAGAGTCATCCAGGTTTTTCTGTCTTCAGACATGCCTGTAATCTATGTAATGGGTTAGCTTCATCTGGATTTATAGACAGATATAGCTGGGTATCATCAGCATAACAGTGGAAATTAATCCCATGCTGTCTAATAACTCTACCAATTGGGAGCATGTATAAAGTAAAGAGAATTGGTCCTAGCACTGATCCCTGTGGTACTCCACAGGTAACCTTTGAGCGTGTTGAAGATCTATCATTAACATGAACAAACTGAATTCGATCAGATAGATAAGATTTAAACCAGTCTAGTGCTGTTCCTTTAATTCCAACAAAATATTCAAGTCTTTCTAAAAGAATATTATGGTCAACTGTATCAAATGCAGCACTAAGATCCAACAGGACGAGCACAGATACAAGTCCATTATCTGAGGCCATGAGAATATCATTAGTGACTTTCACCAGAGCTGTTTCAGTGCTATGATGAGCTCTAAAGCCAGACTGAAACTCTTCAAAAAGTTCATTATGGTGGAAGTGATCGCAAACTTGTTTGGCAACTACTTTCTCAAGAATTTTGGATAAGAAAGGAAGATTGGATATAGGTCTATAATTGACCAAGTCATCTGGGTCAAGAGATGGTTTCTTAAGCAGAGGTTTAATTACAGCAACCTTAAAAGCTTTAGGTACATATCCCTGTAACAGAGATAGAATAATCACATCTAAAATGGAGGAGGAGATCAAAGGGAATACCTCCTTAAATAACCTGGTTGGAACTGGATCTAACATCCCAGTTGAAGGCTTAGATGAAGACAATAATTTTGCTAATTCAGAAAGTTCAACTGGATCAAAGCAGTCTAAACCCGGTTCAGATACCATGACTAACTCAGATGCTGCCCCACCCTCCAGAGACAAGCCAGTCACGGATAGAGAAGTGCTAATGATCTTATTTTTAATAAGATCAATCTTATTTATAAAGAATCCCATAAAATCATTGCTGCTAAGAGCAGGTGGAATGGACGGTTCAACAGAGCTATGGCTCTGGGTGAGTTTGGCCACTGGATTGAAAAGAAATCTAGGATTATTCTTATTCTCCTCTATTAATGAGGAGAAGTATGCTGCTCTTTCTTTACAAAGGGTCCTCTTATAAAGCATTAAACTTAACTATTTTTCCAGACTAGGAAGGACTCTCGCAGGCCTGTGGAGCGATATTTTCTCTCCAGTTTCCTAGCATTTTGCTTCAAAGTACGCAGCTCTGCATTAAACCAAGGAGCAAGCTTTCTATTTTTAACGGTTTTCATTTTCAAAGGAGCTGCGTTGTCTAAGGCAATACGCAGAGAACTAGCAACCCCATCAACAAAATCATCAACCTGTGAAGGGGAATAAGCTAAGCTTTTGCACTCTGCAGCACTGCTCAGTGACACAGAGCAGAGAGAAAGTGAAGCAGATTCTTTAAAATGTATAACTGCACTATCTGATAAAGATCTACTAAAATTGAACCTTCTTTTGGGGGAGGAGAACTCTGTTAAAGTAATCCTGAAGGTTATTGGAAAGTGGTCAGAGAGGACAGGGTTGTGAGGAAATACTGTTATTTCTTCACATTCTATGCCGTATGTCAGCACAAGATCCAAAGTATGAAGATGAGAATGCGTGTCTTACGGCTGCACTTAAGTGGAGGAGACAGAGGAGGAGACAGCGAAGGAGACAGAGGAGATAGTATGAGAGATAGAGGAGGACACAGGGGAGGAGACAGAGGAGGAGATGGGAGAAGATAGGGGAGGAGCCGGAGGAGACAGAGGATGAGACGGGAGAAGATAGCAGAGGAGGAGACAGTAGAGGAGACAGTGGGGGAGGCAGAGGAGGAGAGGAGACAGCGAATGAGACTGAGGAGCAGACAGAGGAGGAGACAGCAAAGGAGACAGAGCAGGAGACAGTGGAGGAGATAGTGGGGGAGACAGAGGAGGAGACAGTAAAGAGGCAGCGAAGGAGACAGAGGATGACACAAAGGGGAAGACATGGGAGGAGACAGAGGAGGAGGCAGCGAAGGAGACGGTGAAGGAAACAGACAGAGGAGGAGACAGGTGAGAGGACAAGGAGACAGCCGGGGGGGGGGGGGTTTAGGAGAGGAGAAGACAGCGGGGGAGACAGGAGAGGAGACAGCAGGGGAGAGGACACAAGGGAGGACACAGAGGAGAAGACAGCGGGGGAGGCAGAGGAGACAAGAAAGGAGACAGTGGAGGAGACTGAGGAGGAGGCAGTGGTGAAGACAGGGAAGGAGACAGAAGAAGAGACAGAAGAAGACAGAGGAGGAGACAGCTAAAAGATTTTACAGTTTATTTGTAAATTAAATTCAAAGACAACACAGAAAAAAAGTATATTATATATTTAAATTCAGATGAAGTCATTTTTGTACAGAAATGTTTGCAGCCATTGATCTTTCCCAGTGTCGCAGCCACATAACGAGGAACAGTCCTGCATGTCGGCATACAGGTGCTGGTCATAAAATTAGAATATCATGAAAAAGTAGATTGATTTCAGTAATTCCATTTAAAAAGTGAAACTTGTATATTATATTCATACATTACATACAAACTCATATATTTCAGATGTTTATTTTGTTTAATTTTGATGATTACAAATGACAACAAATGAAAATCTCAAATTCATCATATCAGAAAATTAGAATATTACTGAAGACCAATAAAAACAAAGGATTTATAGAAATGTTGGCCAACTGAAAAGTATGAACATGAAAAGTATGAGCATGTACAGCACTCAGTATTTAGTTGGGCCTCCTTTGGCCTGTATTACTGCAGCAATGCGGCGTGGCATGGAGTCGATCAGTCTGTGGCACTGCTCAGGTGTTATGATAGCCCAGGTTGCTCTAATAGTGGCTTTTAGCTCTTCTGAATTGTTGGGTCTGGTGTATTGCATCTTCTTCTTCACAATACGCCATAGATTTTCTATGGGGTTAAGGTCAGGAGAGTTTGCTGGCCAATTAAGAACAGGGATACCATGGTCCTTCAACCAGGTACTGGTAGCTTTGGCACTGTGTGCAGGTGCCAAGTCCTGTTGGAAAATGAAATCTGCATCTCCAAAAAGTTGGTCAGCTGCAGGAAGCATGAAGTGCTCTAAAACTTCCTGGTATGTGGCTGCGTTGACCCTGGACCTCAGAAAACACAATGGGCCAACACCAGCAGATGACATGGCACCCCAAACCATCACTGACTGTGGAAACTTTACACTGGACTTCAAGCAACGTGGATGAAGTGCCTCTCTTCTTTTCCTCCAGACTCTGGGACCTTGATTTCCAAAGGAAATGCAAAATTTACTTTCATCAGAGAACATGACTTTGGACCACTCACCAGCAGTCCAGTCCTGTTTCTCTTTAGCCCAGGCAAGACGCTTCTGACGCTGTCTGTGGTTCAAGAGTGGCTTGACACAAGGAATGCGACAGCAGAAACCCATGTCTTTCATACGTCTGTGTGTGGTGGTTCTTGAAGCACTCACTCCAGCTGCAGTCCACTCTTTGTGAATCTCCCCCACATTTTTGAAGGGGTTTTGTTTCACAATCCTCTCCAGGGTGCGGTTATCTCTCTTGCTTGTACACTTTTTTCGACCACATCTTTTCCTTCCCTTCGCCTCTCTATTAATGTGCTTGGACACTGAGCTCTGTGAACAGCCAGCCTCTTTAGCGATGACCTTTTGTGTCTTGCCCTCCTTGTGCAAGGTGTCGATGGTCGTCTTTTGGACAACTGTCAAGTCAGCAGTCTTCCCCATGATTGTGTAGCCTATAGAACTAGACTGAAAGACCATTTAAAGGCTTTTGCAGGTGGTTTGAGTTAATTAGCTGATTAGAGTGTGGCACCAGGGGCCATCAATTTTGAACCTTTTCACAATATTCTAATTTTCTGATATGATGAATTTGAGATTTTCATTTGTTGTCATTTGTAATCATCAAAATTAAACAAAATAAACATCTGAAATATATGAGTTTGTATGTAATGTATGAATATAATATACAAGTTTCACTTTTTAAATGGAATTACTGAAATCAATCTACTTTTTCATGATATTCTAATTTTATGACCAGCACCTGTACATTCATAGGATGCAGAGGCCTATTTTACACATTTAAAACCTGAATCAATGGAATGTTGCACCAAACAATATGACTTCATATTACACAAATATGCATAATTACCCCCCATAACCTCACATCAGGGACATCGGACATGTCAGGTTTAATGAAATATAAAATACAGTTGTTGTCCCGGGTACAGGGGAATGTGTCACAATGCAAAAATAAGTAATTTGCTCTTGATTTGAGGAGGTAAGTAAGACACTTTACCAATAGGAACAAGACAATTTACATTTAAGATAACAAAAACAATTGCATTATATAATTATCTTACTCTAAGAGTAAAAATACTAATTCCATTGGCAAATCATCTTATTTACCTACTCAAATTAAAGCTAAATACAGTAATTTAAGAAATGCTGCCTTATTTCTAGATTGTTTTTCTCAGTGTCAATGGCCGGTAAATAATACACTATCAGACATCCACAGGGTTTCACTAGTGGGATCTCAGAGCAAAAAAAAATAAATAAATAAAACGTCTGGTCATTAATTAGACAAGTCCCATTCGTCAAAAGTCAAAGTGTAATCTTCAGTAGAAAACTGCTTTGATCTAGAAATAAGAAAAAAAGTCTTATTTAGCCTTAATTTGAGCAGATAAAGAAGATGATCTTCCCATGGAATTAGTATTTTTAGCCTTAGAATAAGATAATTGGATAAAATGCACAAGAAATATGACAAAGCAATTCCTTTTTATTTTAAATTTAAATTGTCTTGTCCGATTGGCAAATTGTCTCATTTACTTCCTTAATTCAAGAAGAAATAACTTATTTAATTTTCGATTTTTTTTTGCAGTGAGGCATAAATGGAAGACATTCAAGCAACAACACTGATAAAAAATAGACAAACTATAACAATACTTTAAGGCTTATTTGATTTAACTTGTTTAGAAAGTTATTTTTATTTTTTAAGTTCTGGATTCTCTTTCCTTCTGCTCCTCTTTTTGACTAAAACAGTCGGACATTCTGCTTCTGGGTCAAAGCTCCCCTTATTTTAATCGGAAGGTTTTTCAGAAGGTAAAACGTTTTTTCCCCTGTGTACGAGGTGCTGGTTGAACGACAGGAGTCCAGTTGCTCAGCGATTGAGGCAGTTTAGACCTGGACAGAGGTCTGTGGATAATAATGAACAGAGCGTTTAGTTTGGACATACAAAGCTGCTACGCAGAGCATCGTATGAGCCCAGCTGAATAAAAACAAGCTTATCGTATCTTCTGGTGATGCAAAAGATAAGGACAGAACAAATATAAGCAGGCAGGTTCAGAATCTCATTTAACATATTCACAAAAACTGAACCAAAGCCTGGTTGCTTTGGATTTAAGCAACAGTAAGGCGTATGTTTAGGAAGGCCTAAAGAACCCGTGTGTTTCTCCAAGTCTGAGGTCTCAGTGTGGAAAAAACAGCAACATGCCTGAAGGTTCAATATCCAATCTAGAACCTGGTCTGTTTCCACTTCATCACAACAAATCCAGAGCAAGGTCACGTCCAGGGTCACGTCCCGCCGACATCCTTCCAGTCTCTCCATCTGTGATCCCCAGAAGAATCAGTTCGCCGAGCGGACTGCTCTGCTACTTCGAGGGAAACGGTGGACTTTGATGTGCTTGGACAGGTGATCACTGCGGGCAAATTTCTTCTCACACACGGAACATTGGTACGGCTTTATTCCTGAATGGGATCGTCTGTGACGGGACAGCTCATCAGACCGCGAGAACCTGAGAGGGAGGAGATGGTGACAGAAGGAAGCAGACCAGAACATCAAGGATTAAAAGCAGCAATGATGTTACACAACAGAGTAGAGATTATTCTATTATGAGATTATTATATTCTAAATACTAAAATAAAGGCATAACATTGTGAGAATAATGTTGTAACATTAAGAGAATAAAGTCATAGAAATAAACTGAATTGCATTGAATAATATTACCACTTTGTTCTCATAGTATTAAGACTTTATAATTTTATAATGTTTCAACATTATACACATAATGGAGACAGAGAAGACAGTGGGTTACCACACCTGTAAGGCGAGGCCCCGTTTCAGGTGAAATGCTAAAAGAAAGTTAACTGGAAGTAGCTTTTGTTTTCCTGCGTGAAAAGTCACGGATCGCAGTGTCCCACCGTGCATTGCGCCCGCTGAACTGGGTGAGACGGGAAGCTCCGAAGCTGAAAACCGTGTGGAATTTCCCCCCTTTGTGAGGACCTCGCTACGGACATCAGGGCCATCAAGTCCTCTGCTGTAACATCAAACTGATTGAAAACGTTTCCGAGAACGGACCCACATCGAGCTGAGATCGAACCGTGTGCCCCCCTCTCCTTCCTGGACTGGAAGACGTCTCAAAGTAAAACCCATCCACTTTTCTTTTTGATGCTTTAATGAGGTGCTGCGCTCAGGTGAGTAGGCAGGTAGAAGTTTTAATTAATGCTGATTTTAATCTGTGTTGGTTATAAGAACTCTGGTTAATGGTTAAAATAAGTGTGCTGTGAAAAGCTGCAAGTGATATTTGTCTCTTCCCATCCTGACACACAAGTTCTTCAAAAGTCACTGCATCCCAGAGTACAGCCTGATCCCACAGCATAATACGGCTCATACCGTGGAACCCCCTATTAAGGCATCAGTATACATTCGGAGAATGTAACTGAAAGGTCACCAGGATACAACAAAAAATAAGAGTATAGATCACAAATTCATGGGAACAAACACCACAGACACTGGGACACTACTGCACTGCTGCCAACAGCTTGCTGACTCTCAGTGGCCTGAGAGTCACTAGAAGTTGCTAAATGACGTCATGAGACAATCTGCATATTTGGTCAAGTTTGATCCAGCCGTAGGAGAAGGGAGTATCAACATGGGCTCATTATGTTCACTGACTAACGTTTATAAATGCTCCTCACATCTACGTTAACGATGAAAACAAGAGATGAATCTAAAAGAAACATGGCATCAGTGTGCGGCGTGATCAGCATTAGAGTCCTAAACGGATTCCCTCTCAGTCCCCCTTCACTCTGCTGCTCAGTTCTTCTTTTCTTTCATGCTGTGAGGCGACTTGGACGTTCCAACCCACAGTCATGGTAACTATTCACTGCTTCGTCTTTGTAGTTTGCTCTACCGCTCTCTCTTTCTCTCTGTCTCCCTTCGACTGGCTGCATGCAAAACTGAACCAGGGCTTTATTGGTCTGACATCTTCCAACTCTCGTCCTCATTATGTCCCAAATTTTTTTATATGCTTCTGAAGCTCTTTCCACACACCAAACACACACATCCTAATTGGGTCCTTTTGTAAAAAGACAAGGCTCCTTTTGTTAGCTGGACCCCGGTGCCTTGGTTAAACCACACAGTGTTCCTCATCCTATCAAACTTCGCACATCCTGCCTTATGAGTAAAATAAACAATAGGCGGCTGTTTTAGAAGTAGCTTTCAGTTATTCCTTTAACTGTTGCAGCTAAATTGTAATTTGCTTAATGGAGGTGGAATATAAGTCCAAATGTATGTGTTCTATCAAATGCACAGATTTTACCTGGAAGAAAGGCCATCATCCTGTGGCTTTCTATGTTAGCATGGAGGTGGATTCTATAGAGCAAATCAGCATGGGTGTCATGATACCATATCTGTCACGGTAACAGTATGATATTATCCGGATATTGCAATATCGCTATATACTATATATAATAGAGAAGAGTTACTCTAAAGAGTTTTAACAATATAAAACTGTGCACCTGGAGAATAAATAACCGACATACAACTATGGAAGATATTGATAATAAGTTATTTTGGTCTCCATGTTGTTTGGGGTTTGAGTCAGTCCAATTCTTCCACTGTGACGGCCTCAACTACAGATACAGCAACGCATAACTAAAGGCAGTCTAGTTGTAAAAAAAACAAAAGAAGGGGAATGGTGGATTTTTTCTTTTTGAAGCATACATAGCCTAATTAATATATTCTATTAATCTAAAGCACTATGTATGGTCTGGTTGTTCCATGTCAGGTACGCCGGTCATTGACCTTGACCAAGGCACCTTATAGTAGAACTCTAGTCAGTTCCTGGACTGGCATGGCTATCACTGCCCCTACATAGTTAGCATGGCTATCACTGTCCCTACACAGTTAGCATGGCTAGCACTGCCCCTACATAGTTAGCATGGCTAACACTGCCCCTACACAGTTAGCATGGCTAGCACTGCCCCTACATAGTTAGCATGGCTAACACTGCCCCTACATAGTTAGCATGGCTATCACTGCCCCTACACAGTTAGCATGGCTAACACTGCCCCTACACAGTTAGCATGGCTAGCACTGCCCCTACATAGTTAGCATGGCTAACACTGCCCCTACATAGTTAGCATGGCTATCACTGCCCCTACACAGTTAGCATGGCTATCACTGCCCCTACACAGTTAGCATGGCTAGCACTGCCCCTACACAGTTAGCATGGCTATCACTGCCCCTACACAGTTAGCATGGCTAGCACTGCCCCTACATAGTTAGCATGGCTAACACTGCCCCTACATAGTTAGCATGGCTATCACTGCCCCTACACAGTTAGCATGGCTAGCACTGCCCCTACACAGTTAGCATGGCTAGCACTGCCCCTACACAGTTAGCATGGCTATCACTGCCCCTACACAGTTAGCATGGCTATCACTGCCCCTACACAGTTAGCATGGCTAGCACTGCCCCTACACAGTTAGCATGGCTATCACTGCCCCTACACAGTTAGCATGGCTAGCACTGCCCCTACACAGTTAGCATGGCTATCACTGCCCCTACACAGTTAGCATGGCTAGCACTGCCCCTACAGAGTTAGCATGGCTAGCACTGCCCCTACACAGTTAGCATGGCTATCACTGCCCCTATATAGTTAGCATGGCTAGCACTGCCCCTACATAGTTAGCATGGCTAGCACTGCCCCTACAGAGTTAGCATGGCTAGCACTGCCCCTACATAGTTAGCATGGCTATCACTGCCCCTACAGAGTTAGCATGGCTAGCACTGGCCCTACATAGGTAGCAGGGCTATATATATATGTATATGTATATACATACATATATATATATATATATATACATATATATATATATATATATACATATACATATACATATCCAACCACACAAGATAATTAAGGTAAAAATATTTACACATATAGCTCTTCTGTAAAGTGATAGATCCAAGTAAAGTGAAACGTGGCGTGCAAAAATAGAGGATGTGAGTCACTGTCTAAGACGGACTGAAGCCTGGACAGCATCCTCCTCTCTGCCACGGTGGTCAGAGTGTCCAGCTCAACATTTCTCTACGACTTTAAAATAACTATTTTCAATCATTTCAGACGGAACTATTCTCAGACTTCGGCGCCATTTCCCTTTTTTTGTTTTTAACGGACCTTGAAGGACCCAGACCAGGTCCTTGCAGGATGCGGCCTCTGGAATCGAACACACTCAGTTTACTCTCTGCACATCTTTCTACCCTCTGTGCTTCAGTGGCAGCGCCCCTCACTGGTCTTGAATAAGTATTCCAACCCCTACAGCTCCTGTGGATTCATATCAGAACTAAAACTTTCTTATTCTCCTCCAAATGCCAAAGGACCTCATTAGACTGCATGATGTTATGAACATAAGCAGGAAATAGGTCCAGGGTGATAATCAACAATAGGAAATCTGTCTTTCCTGAAGTCCTTGAATCCTTTAGAGGAACCTGAGGCTGAGAGGACAGCCGTCCCTCCCTCCATCTGAGATCTGCCCTGTTGGCTACAGTAGATGAGAAGGACTGACAGCGGGGGTCCAAGCATTGCTACAGCAGTGGTTTGGTAAGAGCAGTAATTTCCCAACGTTCACCCACTGAAGAATGTTCCTCAAATTAAAGGTTGGACTTTTCTAAATGCTTTAGTGGGTGAAAATATTGCTGTGCTGCAGCCTTTTTCCAGAGGAGGGGTCAGATTTATGTGTGAGGCTCCCAGTGGGGAAGGCCAGAAATGTCCCATGCCATCAAAGCAAATAAAGCTGCAGAGAAGCAGTTTCTAAACTTCACTAACGATAATTACAGCATCTTTCGCACCCATGGAACAGGTGAAGAAATGATCTAAATCAGGGTTCAGCAGCTTTTACAGTCCAAAGGAGCCGTAAAACCGACCAATCCTTTGAAAGAAAAACTTTAGGAACTCCAGGAAAAAGTTTTGTTTTTAAACAAAAAATGATAATGATGTAATTTAGGTTAAAGGAAATAGTCAGAATTTCACAAGACTCCTTAACCCGTTTTATCAAATTAAATCAAATTCGCATCAGATGGAGGGCGTCCACCTTGGTGCATCACGTCTTTAGGCTCTGCGCGGCGTAGGCCGGTCCCCCAGAAAATATTCATATTTAGACTCTAAAACATTGTTTCCTGCATATTTAACTTTTTGTCTTTGTTCCAACACTACTGTAGCCCTGATTATGGTGTGCTTGACTAGAGGTAGAAATTTCACAAGGAGGACATGAGATCAGTTTTAGGGAAAATATAATGTTTCAGAGGTCAATCAGAAAGTCTAATGCTACCTTTACAATGAAGGCCATATAAGACGTATCTGCTGCTTCATTTCTGCTGCTTGTCCTCATTAAGGTCAGACGTCCAGTAAAGTGCGTCCAGATGCTTCTGCTGCTCCTGTGTTCGATGCCAGAGAGCAGCTTTGCTATATTAGCTGTGATCAGCGGGTAGAAAGTAGTTTTTCATCTATGTTGAAGTGAGAAAGTCCTCCTGAAAACATGGTCTGTGCAGTCAGTTCATCCAGATTACCATCCTGCCTTCAAAGATTATTTCTCTGTGGGAGCCGCTCAGACCCCCACATACCGGCGCTGCGCTGTCACTGGGAATCCCCAGCAGCAGCTGCCTCAGGCCCGCTCGCCTCTCCAGGGTTTCCCCTCCTGTTGGTGGCGGCTGGAAGTAGATGTTAGCGTTTTTCAGGTCTGTGCTACAAACTGCAGGCAGCAGGATAATAAAAGCCAACATATTCTGCCGGCAGGTTTCTACATTTGAAGTTAATTTAGGCGTTAATAAACTGTTTCAGAGGAGTGATCATAGCGCTCTGCATCAGCAGTGCTGCGTCTGACTCCCTGCCAGCTTCCAGATCAGCTTCTCTCATTGGTTGATGCGGCGCATCCAGCAGATAAAGTTCAATGTTTCCAACTCCAGCAGCTGCTGCTTGTGAATTTTTTAACAATTTGAGCAAAGGTTTTAGGCGAACCTCCCAAAAACAGGGCGTACATTTAGTCATTTTTTTTGTATATGCTGTACAATGTACAGCCTCATCGCTAGCTAAAAGCCTGGTGGCAGCTCTAGTTGTTAGTTTCCAGGAAAATTAGGGCATGCTAAAGCTGAAATCCCAAAAAGGAGCGAAAAATGTGTCATTTCTTTAGTAAAGGGCGTATAAAGGATGCCGTATGCATTGCTAGCTAAAGGCCAGATGGGGTGAAAACGTGCAGTCTAATAAAAAAAATCATTACTAAAACCTTAAAATTTAAAAATCATTTTCATCGTTTTCAGTTTTGGGTCCAAATTTCCACCTGATTGTTTTCTGACCATGCAGGTTTCAGACTTGTTTTTTTGCTCTGTTCAGTCATCACTTTATAGACGGTTAATCAGGATGAATAAGGCCTGGAGGCTGCGCCCCTGCGTACCCACCTCCATCCACAGCCCTGCCAGCTGCAGGCGAACGGCTTCTCCCCGGTGTGCCTCCTCAGGTGGGCCTTCAGATGGCTGCTTTTCGTGTACATTTTGCTGCAGCCGGGGAAGGAGCATTTGTGCATTTTGATCAGATCTGAAACAGGATTCTTCTGGAACCTTTGACCTCCTCTGAGAAGCCCAGATCCCTGGCTGGCAGAGCTGTCGCTGAGTCCTAGCGGTTTGGCTGCAATGGGGACTGGTGCAATCCGGACGAACTTTGTGACACTGAAGCTGGGAGACGGCAAGATGTGGGGGACCAGGGCAAAAGTCTGGCCTTGGATGTTGACCAGCAGCTGTGTGACTTGGATATCTGAGGCTGAGGGTGGCTGTGAGGGCGGGGCCACTGGTGCAACTGGGGTCAATGTGGGCTCCTGCTTCACCTCAATGGGTTGGATCTGTAGGACTACTGGAATCCCGTTTCTTCCTGCGGCCCGCTCTACCACACAGGGTTTGCTGGCTGATGTTATGGTGGCTCCTGCACCTGATTGATCTGTTGGGTTGATGGAAGCTGCTTTGCTCACAGCAGAGGCAGCAGAGGCTGGACTGGATGTGCTGGTTTCTGGCTCTAACTTGGTATCAAACCTCTCCTCTGCCTCAACTTTAAACCCCTCCTGCTTCATGGTCACCGTCTCCATATTCTCCTCCAGAAATTCTTCAATCTCCTCCAGTGTGGGCTGGAACGACCCTCCCAGATGTTCTTCTGTCTCCACTTTTGAACAAGTGAAGAAGTCAAAACTTTCCTCCTTTATGGACTCATGCTTGAAGGGCTCCTCTCTCCTGAAGCCCCACTGGACGGTGGACAGTGACACGGATGAGGAGGTGTGTGATGACAGCAGGTGGTCCAGGACGCTGTCAGCGCTGGAGCTGCTGCAGCTGGAGCAGGAGCGAGGGCTGGACCGCAGGCTGACATCATCATCTGAAGGGGGCGATGGGATGACCTGGTAGCAGCCCGGGTCTGACACCATGTCTGGAGAAGAACAAACGTACGGAAAGAGAGTCTCTCGCTTCACTGCAGACTTATCCACCATCCCTGGCACCACCTACTGGCTGCCGTCTGTGTTTACGCTGGCATGTAGAAAACGAGTCCTTGGCAGAGGAGAAGGGTAGACCAAACAAAACCAGGGTGACCAAGCCCCCCCCTCCAGGAAACACCTGCGGTTGTCCAGGAAATAATCCGAGGCGTCCAGGCTGGATGCAGGATTTCTGCAAGGACAAGAAAACGAGTTAAACTTGAAGCTTTGAAAGTGTCCAACAGGATGAACCAAAGGAGCATCTTTCACATTTATTAACCTTTCGCTTCTCTTCCAGAGGAGAATTTAAAATCCTCCTTCTAAGACTTAGATTTATTTCCATTTTGTACACAAATGGAAAAAAAAATTTCATTTAAAGCAGCTCTAGACAATTTCATTTTTTAAAGTGGAGCCTTGAAGAACATTAATAAATCCATAAAAAATCAAATATATGATTAAATAAATATAATAAATATATAAATATATGATTGTATATTTAGAGTTCTAGCATTATTTTTTTATATATATAAATAAATAAAATTACTAATTTTACAAAACAGTGGGGAAGAAGCTGCTGCAGAAGCATTGAATGCTGGGAAGCCTCTTCCCAGAGGGCAGCAGGGAGAACAGTCCATGGTGGGGGGGGGGTGAGGGGTCATTGATGATGTCACGGGCTGAGATGAAATGTCTTTAATGGAGGGAAGAGGAGCCCCCATGATCCTCTCTGCTGTTCTCACCTTCTTCCAGTCTGAGGCGCTGCAGCCTCCACACCACACAGTGAGACAGCTGCTCAGAACGCTCTCTATGGAGCTTCTGGAGAAGGTGGGGAGGATGGGGGGGGGGGGGTCTCACATATAAAGCTCTAAATAACATCTGATATCAGAGATCTGATTGTTCCTGATCTTCCTCACTAGGCGGCGTTGCACCAGTAGAACTGATTGCAATGTCCTGAGCTGTAAAAACTGGCCTCTATGGGCTTAAACCTCGATACACTAACGTAACTACACAGCTGACACCATTTTTCTGTGGTTTGCACTAAGGCGGGCAATTCATTAATTGCATTTGCAATATAATCACAATTTAACTAAAAGCAATTTCCAAATGGCAGAGCTCTGATTCTTAATCATTCTATATTTAACAGGAGTAAGAATTTCTCCCTCCAGCCCTTTATGTGGCGTTTAACACTGAAAGGCGGAGTTTGTCTCCACACAGAAAGGTAGAGAGAGTAGCAGCTAGCAGCAGATTAATGCATGCAAGCAGTTTTTTTACACAAAGGTTACAGTAAAGTCCTTTAAAAATGGAGTCTGGGCAAGGAAGCTTTCAAAAACCGGAACCCTGGGGTAAAACATATTCAAGTGTAGAGTTAGTGCTAAGGAAAATCGAAATGAAATCGCAATTTTAAATTTTTTTTAAATTGCAGTTTAGATTTTTGGCAAAATGGTTTAGCTCTAGTTCGCAGATATTGTCAAAGATTAGATTCATTCTTTAAATCTAATAAAAATTAAAAACGACTCAAAAATTGATTCATTGCTTTTTGGATTCATTCATAGCAAAAACATCCCAACATTACACCATGCAAAGCATCATAGGATTTGTTGTGACAGCTGCTGGCTGTCAGGTAGCAACCGTTATGGTGACCGCGGCAACAAAGATGGTGCCGGGGAGGCGGAGTCATGCAACCAACAGGAAGTGAAAAGCAGTGAACGGTCAGTTAACTGAGTTCACTGTAGAGTCCCTGCAGTATAAAGGTGATGGAGGGACTCATGGGTTAGCAGAGTCCCAAACCCTGGCGGAGCGTTGATGGATGCTTTCAGGGGAATAAAGCTGGAAGGTTTATGTTCATTTTGGTGGCTCAAAGTAAAGCCTTCCCCACTGAAAATAGCAGGTTGTTTTTCAAACATGGCCGCTAACAAAGCAGCATCTGGTTCCCTTCCCACTGGCAATAAAAGCTGGTCTGACCCCTCACTGACAGCTGCTTGTCTGGTGACATCACACTGGGTTAGTGCTGATGATGTCACCACTGCGGCACAAATGAGGGAAGTAAACAATGTAGATCAACATGTAAGGAATCCAGGGCGTAGTCAGTGTGTTTTATTGTTTCTCTCTATCATCTGTCTGAATCACCAGCGCTGCTCCATTTTTATCGGATGTAAGCAGAGTTGTTTCGGCTTCTTAGATCAGAAGCGACTGGCGTGGTGTGTTGTCGTCCCTACGCTGCGTTCAATGGTATCACGTAAAACAGCAGGTCTCTGGTGTTCCCACAGCATGGAGCCGAGGCGATTTTAAAGCGGGTCGCTGTCCAAGTCATTTGACCCGGGTAGTCACGCCATCTGAGTCCTGTCCCTTAAATCAGTAACTGTGCTGTTTAACTCCACTCTCATTGGTTGTTCTGTCTCAAGTCCCGCCTTCTCTCTTCCTGATTGGCTGTTTTCTAGTCCATATGCGTGTATGCGTGCTTGGATCAAGAAATTAAAATTTTATTCATGCTAGTTACTTCAAATAATATAATTTTATTCCATCTACACTAAAACAGGCGAAAGATGCTGATTGCTGATTCTTAGCCACAGCTGACTGAAAAAGAAAATGTGAGGGTTTCCCTTTTAACAATAATTAATTGCAATTACTGTTTTCATTTTATGACGATCCTTTGAGGCAGTTCAGCTATAAACAGCAGGTGTTATTTATTTTTTTATAGAGTATAACAACACGAGATGGCGCCTAAACATCTGATATTTCTTGTTTAGAAAGCATAATTACGGTTCCGCATAATGTTGCTATTTCTTTGAAATTTTCTACTTTTAAAAATAGGATAAAGCCAATAACAAACAGAGGAACATTATTTAAATGGATTTTATTTTACATAGATTTCCACACAGTCCATAAGTTAATTAGTACAAACATTAGTGTTTAGTAAAACCGCTTGAATCCGGCTGTTTATTTTGAATATTATTACATCACAGACAAAATGGTGTTATATATATTTTTTTCAATAATTGTTAAAAATGATTTTATATTGGAATAAATTTAGTTCCATTCTTAGTGTTGTTTTTTGTAGATGATGCCACTAAATGTAAATACAATAAATGCATTTGCCGTCCCTTGAATGTGTTATTTTGCGTTGTTTCATGATACAGAGAGAGCATTTAAAAAATAAGAGTGTTTAACCTGTTTACCTTTGCACAATTATATATCTGCAAAAGAAAATACAGGATAAATCCACATGTAACAGACATATTTAGACTATATTTGGTTAAATTGGGACATATTTACCTACTGTCTCAGTCACTGGTAGGTTTAAATGCAAACCTTTTCAAAGTGTAAAAAAGTACTAATTCCACATTAATCAGAGCCGGTGACGCTTCAAACATTGATAAACAGCATCTAGTGAGTGTAGTGCTTATAAGATTAGTATTGATGTTGGAAGAAATGCTGCTTTTCTCTTTAAACCAAATGCACCCTGATGCTCACATCAAGCATAAAAAGCATGCATATTGTTGCAAAGGTAAAATGACATTAATGAAACTTAGGAGCAATAATGTCTCTACCAAAGTGGAAATCAAACCTACCCTTGCACGCTTCAGTGACCTGTTCCCAATGACACTAACAGCCTGTTTTTCCCCCCAGTGGGAAAGGAGTATTACTGTGTTGAGTAATAATCGAGTTCAGTTAAATGTTTGCAAAAGTCTGACTGTATTTTTATTCAATATTTAAATTTGTATTGATTGTTTTTTTTTTTGGTAAACTCTGATAGTAGATAATCTGAGTAATGGTGGTGATAATGAAAAGAAAAGATTAAAAAGAAGATCCTGCAGCTGTGTTCCTGTCCATCATTGGTCTTTATTATAGGAGCTGTTCCGTCATCATTAAAATCTTTTAAAAAGATGATTTAAAGGTAGAAGGCTTGGTTTGACTCTGCTGCAGTTTGGCTCCTCTAATAATACAGCTACAGTAGAGCTCAGGTTGTTTTCCTGGAACACATAGCCCCCCCCCCCATCCGTGCTTCCTTTCCAGGGGCCCCTGCGTGGAGTGACCGACAGTAACCCCTGCAGGATGGGGCTGCAGCGGCCAGGATCACCTGCTCTGCTGTTTACACACAGGAGGAGCCTCTAATATTATTAAAGCTGTTTGCTTTGAAGGCGGAAATATTTTCATCCTCAAATAAACTTCAACAGCTTTTAAAAAAAAAAACCAACTCTAGTTATTGCGTTCATTTAATAAACTGAGTTTTCTGTTTTAAACAGGATGAAGAAATAATCTGCAGCGCGTCCTTTTCCACCTCAATGTAAACATGTTTTCATCAAGGCTGCAGAACCCCCCCCCCCCCTCACCCAGAGAGTGTCACCCAGCTCAGGGTCCGCTTCGTCCACTGGATCCCACAGATGTCCACGCAGCGCTGCAGTCCGTCAGCTCTCTGCTCCCACGGAGTTGTACTCTGTCTGTCACATGACTGCCGTGGAAAAGGAGAGGCTCCCACTGTGGGCTCGTCCACGCTCCGCAGCTGATTGGCCGGCCGAGGAGCGGATGGAGGCGGGCAGAGTGTGAGTCTCTGCTGCATGGGACCCATGTGACCCGGAGCAGGAGAAGTGGGTCACCTGCAGGCTGCAGCGCAGGCAGTCATTCCTCAGTGATGCGCAGCTGCAGCTGCAGGCATCTGCAAACAGAGAAAAACTAGGAGCAATATTTATGATTATGCTGCGTTCAGACCGCACGCAGCAGAAGCAGCAAAAACACTCATGCTGCTTCATTTTTGATGGTTGTACCAGTTTAGTTCTGCTAAAGCATGTTTTCTGCTCTAGCCTCATGATGGAAAAGTGATTCTGATGCGCGGTGGGCGGAGCTACCCTATCCTTTCTCTGACTGGAACAATGGCGGCTATATTAGCTGTGATCAGCGGGTAGAAAGTAGTTAGAATCTATGTTGAAGTGAGAAAGTCCTCCTGAAAACATGGTCTGTGCAGTCAGTTCATCCAGATTACCATCCTGCCTTCAAAGATTATTTCTCTGTGGGAGCCGCTCAGACCTAGCCTGGGTGCCATTCCGAACTTAGTCCCGCCCACAACATTTGAGGTCGGGAAGTTCGGATGGCATTGCTCCATAGTAGCGCGAGTATGCTAGCACAATATGTGGCGATCCAATCAAATTGTCAGGGCGGGCTTTATACGATGATGGACAGATGATCATCAGTAACGTAATCAACCACGTCACCAAAGCGCGCTTGGGTGACAACAACAATGGCTGCCGCTGGAGAGTTGAGGTGAGTAGATTCTGCTATTAGGTCTGTTCTAGAAGATATCGACAGCAAATTAATTTTAAAAGAGGAACAGAGAAACGCGATCAAGGCTCATCTTATTCTAGGCGTGCAACTGCACGCTTTGATTTTTGTTAACAACTATGCATCGCTTAACATACGTCACGCACTCAGTTGCTCTTATTGGTTGTAGGTCTATCCAATTGAGTGCAGAGGCATTTTTTTTCCTGGTTCGTTCGAAACACGCCCCATAATCACAGCTCTATGGAGCAGCATCAGACTCATTCTGATTAGAATGGAGTAGGACTACGTCAGGCTAGCTCAGACCCCCACATACCGGCGCTGCGCTGTCACTGGGAATCCCCAGCAGCAGCTGCCTCAGGCCCGCTCGCCTCTCCAGGGTTTTCCCCTCCTGTTGGTGGCGGCTGGAAGTAGATGTTAGCGTTTTTCAGGTCTGTGCTACAAACTGCAGGCAGCAGGATAATAAAAGCCAACATATTCTGCCGGCAGGTTTCTACGTTTGAAGTTAATTTAGGCGTTAATAAACTGTTTCAGAGGAGTGATCATAGCGCTCTGCATCAGCAGTGCTGCGTCTGACTCCCTGCCAGCTCCCAGATGGACCAGGTCACAGAACGCCGTGGGGACGCAGAGACGGACCAGGTCACAGAACGCCGTGGGGACGCAGAGACGGACCAGGTCACAGAACGCCGTGGGGACGCAGAGACGGACCAGGTCACAGAACGCCATGGGGACGCAGAGACGGACCAGGTCACAGAACGCCATGGGGACGCAGAGACGGACCAGGTCACAGAACGCCGTGGGGACGCAGAGACGGACCAGGTCACAGAACGCCGTGGGGACGCAGAGACGGACCAGGTCACAGAACGCCGTGGGGACGGAGAGACGGACCAGGTCACAGAACGCCATGGGGACGCAGAGACGGACCAGGTCACAGAACGCCATGGGGACGCAGAGACGGACCAGGTCACAGAACGCCATGGGGACGCAGAGACGGACCAGGTCACAGAACGCCATGGGGACGCAGAGACGGACCAGGTCACAGAACGCCGTGGGGACGCAGAGACGGACCAGGTCACAGAACGCCGTGGGGACGCAGAGACGGACCAGGTCACAGAACGCCGTGGGGACGCAGAGACGGACCAGGTCACAGAACGCCGTGGGGACGCAGAGACGGACCAGGTCACAGAACGCCATGGGGACGCAGAGACGGACCAGGTCACAGAACGCCGTGAGGACGCAGAGACGGACCAGGTCACAGAACGCCGTGAGGACGCAGAGACGGACCAGGTCACAGAACGCCGTGGGGACGCAGAGACGGACCAGGTCACAGAACGCCATGGGGACGCAGAGACGGACCAGGTCACAGAACGCCAAGGGGACGCAGAGACGGACCAGGTCACAGAACGCCGTGGGGACGCAGAGACGGACCAGGTCACAGAACGCCGTGAGGACGCAGAGACGGACCAGGTCACAGAACGCCATGGGGACGCAGAGACGGACCAGGTCACAGAACGCCGTGGGGACGCAGAGACGGACCAGGTCACAGAACGCCGTGAGGACGCAGAGACGGACCAGGTCATAGAACGCCGTGGGGACGCAGAGACGGACCAGGTCACAGAACGCCATGGGGACGCAGAGACGGACCAGGTCACAGAACGCCGTGGGGACGTAGAGACGGACCAGGTCACAGAACGCCGTGAGGACGTAGAGACGGACCAGGTCACAGAACGCCGTGGGGACGCAGAGACGGACCAGGTCACAGAACGCCGTGAGGACGTAGAGACGGACCAGGTCACAGAACGCCATGGGGACGCAGAGACGGACCAGGTCACAGAACGCCGTGAGGACGTAGAGACGGACCAGGTCACAGAACGCCGTGGGGACCAAGACCCTTAACCCCACACTGCTGCACAGGTGCTTTCAGGATCCCAATAAATGGGGTGGAGTCTTGTTTTTACCTTTTTTGATGCGTAAACCTAAACTTTTAGAGCTGCAGCTTCTCTGTTCCCTCTCCCTCTTTCTAACTAGAAGTGTCTGCAGTGAAGACAGACGACAGGATTGTGCTTTGAAACTTTTATTCATGAACGTTTGGCTCAGCCAACCTGGAAACGAACAGATTTCAATAAATAAAAAACAAACCAAGGCTTCAAACCTCGCTGTACATCAAACACGTGATCAGGCATCTTCCTCAGGCTGATGGTGCTATGAAACAAAGCAGGAGAGCTGCGTCTGTAAGGCAACTGGAGCGCTGGCGCCGTGGCGTCGAGGATGGCGCCCTCAGTTTTGGGTTCAATAAAAGCACAGAAACCGTCTCTGATCATCTGAAGGTGCATCTTCTGTGGAAACATCTCCAACCAATCATGAGAGTCCAAACCCCTCGAAAAGGCGACGGTTCAGAGGAGTCCTAAGGGCTGGTCTGCTCCCGTTAACCGTACGGGGATCTCCCAGCATGCCGCTGGCCGGGGGAGGCGTTATTCCAAGTCCTGGAGGTTGATGGTGCTTCCTGTGAACTGGGAATTATCAGAGCCGTTGTCGTCCTCCGGCATCACCGAGGGTTCCTGCAGGGAAACAGTAAAAGCCAAGTTAAAGTGCTGGATCATGGCGCTGCAGTAATGAGCTGGTTAGCTTTAAATCCACCAAGGAACTGCTCATCTGTCCAGAACTACCGATCTATCATAGTCCAGGGAATGGGATCCAGTCTGCACATGGAGTCCATTACTGGTAAACTCAACTGGAGTTCTCATCAGTTGACTTCCTGCCTAATCGCTCCGCTCAGTGTTTTAGGGAATCAGGGAGTGCCGGCACATCTGGGTCTCTATGGAAACGCAGGCGCGGCACACAGGGTGGAGCTGCAGCACATCAAAAAAGCCTCAACCTACCCCTCCCTGGACTTTTGAAACCCACAGTATGACAGATCCTTTACCTTGCTAAGCCCTGGGCAGGTGGAGTCCCATTAAAAAGCTGCTCAGCCAATAAAATACGAGTGATTGAAATATTCAGAATCTCCAATAAGTAGAGGGACAATCCTTTTGGTCTCTTAGCATACATCGTTTCTTCATCAAGGCTAAATCGTGACCCTTCTAGGACACCGTAGTGTCGTCCTCCGACAGATGTTCTCCTCGTGTCCATCTGAACCTACCTGTAAAATGTTGACAGGCAGGTCGACGGTGAGCTGGGAGTCGGAGCTGGAAGGCTGGGAGCTCAGCTGGAAGGCCAGGTCGCCATCGCTGGCTGGATCATCCTGCACACACACACCCGTTAACGTTAGCTTCCTGTAAGATTCACTCGGTGATAACCTACTGGCACAATCTGAAGCCATTCTATGGCACTGATATCTGCTAAAAACAATCGTGTGTGCATGTGTATCACTGAGGGGATGCTGGCCTGATGGGGGAGGCTTAGCTGACAGAACACAGGCAGTAGCCGGATTGATAACGTAGAACTGAGTAGTTCTGCCTGTGAAAAGGAGCGACGGTTGGTGCAATACTTTGAGCTGATTGGGTGACGTGCCAGCTAGTACCCCGCCTTCCATAATACACTTTGTGACTTTTCCCATTTACAAATGCACCAAGTGATTCTCTTAGCCATGTTTGCCTCTTCTGCCTGTCATCATTCCTGAATGTCCCGCCCCAAAAAAACACTGCTGGCGTGTCACTGGCTGTTATCACTGATCTCTATTCACTGGATTGCTGATTGGCCATTGGTAGTACCTGGTTGAAGCGAAGCCACCGGCCGCCATATTGGTACTCCCTAATTAGACCGGTTGCAATGTAAATCTGTGAGCTACAGCATCGAACAACGATAATGTTCTCGTTTTCAGAGGGACTTAAGACTTTTAAAATAAAGATAAATTCATCACTTTGACACAGACTGGCTGGTGATTTATAAGCGTGAACCAACACCGATGCTGTGCTTTGATGGAGCGATGATGGGACCTGAGGAGCAGCTGCTCGGCATGCTAACCAAGGCTACGTCCATCAGAGCTAAGCTGCTCGGCATGCTAACCAAGGCTACGTCCATCAGTGCTAAACTGCTCAGCATGCTAACCAAGGCTACGTCCATCGGTGCTAAACTGCTCAGCATGCTAACCAAGGCTACGTCCATCAGTGCTAAACTGCTCAGCATGCTAACCAAGGCTACGTCCATCAGTGCTAAGCTGCTCAGCATGCTAACCAAGGCTACGTCCATCGGTGCTAAACTGCTCAGCATGCTAACCAAGGCTACGTCCATCAGTGCTAAGCTGCTCAGCATGCTAACCAAGGCTACGTCCATCAGAGCTAAACTGCTCAGCGTGCTAACCAAGGCTACGTCCATCAGAGCTTAGCTCCTCAGCATGCTAACCAAGGCTACGTCCATCAGAGCTAAGCTGCTCAGCATGCTAACCAAGGCTACGTCCATCAGTGCTAAACTGCTCAGCATGCTAACCAAGGCTACGTCCATCGGTGCTAAACTGCTCAGCATGCTAACCAAGGCTACGTCCATCAGTGCTAAACTGCTCAGCATGCTAACCAAGGCTACGTCCATCAGTGCTAAGCTGCTCAGCATGCTAACCAAGGCTACGTCCATCGGTGCTAAACTGCTCAGCATGCTAACCAAGGCTACGTCCATCAGTGCTAAGCTGCTCAGCATGCTAACCAAGGCTACGTCCATCAGAGCTAAACTGCTCAGCGTGCTAACCAAGGCTACGTCCATCAGAGCTTAGCTCCTCAGCATGCTAACCAAGGCTACGTCCATCAGAGCTAAGCTGCTCAGCATGCTAACCAAGGCTACGTCCATCAGAGCTAAGCTCCTCAGCATGCTAACCAAGGCTACGTCCATCAGAGCTAAACTGCTCAGCATGCTAACCAAGGCTACGTCCATCACAGCTAAGCTGCTCAGCATGCTAACCAAGGCTACGTCCATCAGAGCTAAACTGCTCAGCATGCTAACCAAGGCTACGTCCATCAGAGCTAAACTGCTCAGCATGCTAACCAAGGCTACGTCCATCAGAGCTAAGCTGCTCAGCATGCTAACCAAGGCTACGTCCATCAGAGGTAAACTGCTCAGCATGCTAACCAAGGCTACGTCCATCAGTGCTAAACTGCTCAGCATGCTAACCAAGGCTACGTCCATCAGAGCTAAATTGCTCAGCATGCTAATCAAGGCTACGTCCATCAGAGCTAAACCGCTCAGCATGCTAATCAAGGCTACGTCCATCAGAGCTAAGCTGCTCAGCCTGCTAACCAAGGCTACGTCCAGAGCTAAGCTGCTCAGCATGCTAACCAAGGCTACGTCCATCAGAGCTAAACTGCTCAGCATGCTAACAAGGGTTACATCCATCAGAGCTAAACTGCTCAGCATGCTAACAAGGGTTACATCCATCCGAGCTAAACTGCTCAGCATGCTAACCAAGGCTACGTCCATCAGAGCTAAACTGCTCAGCATGCTAACCAAGGCTACGTCCATCAGAGCTAAACCTCTCAGCATGCTAACCAAGGCTACGTCCATCAGAGGTAAACTGCTCAGCATGCTAACCAAGGCTACGTCCATCAGAGCTAAACCGCTCAGCATGCTAACCAAGGCTACGTCCATCAGAGCTAAACTGCTCAGCGTGCTAACCAAGGCTATGTCCATCAGAGCTAAACCGCTCAGCGTGCTAACCAAGGCTACGTCCATCAGAGCTAAACTGCTCAGCGTGCTAACCAAGGCTATGTCCATCAGAGCTTAGCTGCTCAGCATGCTAACCAAGGCTACGTCCATCAGAGCTTAGCTGCTCAGCGTGCTAACCAAGGCTATGTCCATCAGAGCTAAACCGCTCAGCGTGCTAACCAAGGCTACGTCCATCAGAGCTAAACTGCTCAGCGTGCTAACCAAGGCTACGTCCATCAGAGCTAAACTGCTCAGCGTGCTAACCAAGGCTATGTCCATCAGAGCTTAGCTGCTCAGCATGCTAACCAAGGCTACGTCCATCAGAGCTAAACTGCTCAGCGTGCTAACCAAGGCTACGTCCATCAGAGCTTAGCTGCTCAGCATGCTAACCAAGGCTACGTCCATCAGAGCTAAACAGCTCTGCATGCTAACCAAGGCTACGTCCATCAGAGCTAAGCTGCTCAGCATACTAACCAAGGCTACGTCCATCAGAGCTAAGCTGCTCAGCATGCTAACCAAGGCTACGTCCATCAGAGCTAAGCTGCTCAGCATGCTAACCAAGGCTATGTCCATCAGAGCTAAGCTGCTCAGCATGCTAACCAAGGCTACGTCCATCAGAGCTAAGCTCCTCAGCATGCTAACCAAGGCTATGTCCATCAGAGCTAAGCTGCTCAGCATGCTAACCAAGGCTACGTCCATCAGAGCTAAGCTGCTCAGCATGCTAACCAAGGCTATGTCCATCAGAGCTAAGCTGCTCAGCATGCTAACCAAGGCTATGTCCATCAGAGCTAAGCTGCTCAGCATGCTAACCAAGGCTACGTCCATCAGAGCTAAGCTCCTCAGCATGCTAACCAAGGCTATGTCCATCAGAGCTAAGCTGCTCAGCATGCTAACCAAGGCTATGTCCATCAGAGTGTTCACCAGGAGGAGGAAGAGCCTCTGTGCTGGTGCGGAGAAGGTGACGTTGCTGCTGAAGCTCACCTGCAGAAGCTGAATCTGGACATACTGAGTCCCCGTGACGGGGTCCCTCAGGGTCAGACCCCCGCTGGCTGCTACAGCTCCGTCACTGTAACGAGCAGCGCATGATGTCACAGAAACCTTTGGAACTTTAGCTTTTCTCTGACAGGAACCTAAAGTTAAACCAAAAGGTGAAAGGTCATCACAGCTGTAGCCGTGTTTCTTTCTGGATCTGCAATGGCGGCGCTAAGTACCAGGCGTGGCTGAGGAACCTCTCTGCTTCTTCTTCTTGGCCAGCTGGATGGCTCTGTAGTCGGTCCGAGCAGAACCGCCGCTGTCCTGAAGAGGAAACCATGACACACAGAACCGTTAGCTTTAGGCCTACTGAGCAGAAATACAGCAGAAAGAGTTTCCATCTTTGACATCTTTCCAGGTTTAATGATTCTAAGGAAAAAAGGACCAAACCAGAGTCCTCGCCTGAGCGACCAAATATGGACGCTGTATCACTTTCCCTGTCTATTGCTAACTTTGGATAAATGGCCGATGTGGCTTCAGGTATAGATGGCCATGAAAGTGGCGCCCAGAGCCGGGGACTCTGAGCATTTCTCAGCAGTGAAACTTGTTCTCACCAGGAAGCTGCTTGGAGACACGGAAAGTTCCAGGTCCTTCTGAGGGCTGAAGCTGCTGCTGGGGAACACAAACTGAGAGGTCAGAACCTTCCCCCCGTCCTGCGGACCCAGAACCTCCACACAGCCCAGCAGGTGACCCGCGCCTCCCTGCCCCCCCACCTCCACCACTTTGGAGGGCGAGGCCAGGAGTTCGGGGACCGGGGCCACAGCCAAGGCGGCCGAGGGCTCCACCGCCATGCCGCCGGAGGAGCCGAGCGGGTGCTGCAGGGCGGGGTCCACCGAGGCGCCCTGCATGGTCAGGGCCGCCAGCGTCCCCAGGGCCTCTGGGGTGACCGTCTGCACGTCGTCCAGGTTCAGGGTTCCCTGTGGGGGGAGGACGCCCCCCACCGCCCCCTCCAGTCCGTGTTGATGAGTCAGCTCGGCACCAGGAGCCAAGACAAGAGGGTCCAAAGGCTTGGCCAACGTGGTTCCGCTAACAAGTGTGGCGCCCATGGAGGACGGGTCTATGGTTAGAATCCCTGAGCTGACCAGAGACAGATCCATGGTGAAGGCGCCACTGGAGCCGCTGCCGGCCACAGGGAGGCCTGCCTCTATGCCGGCACTCGGCGCGGCACCAGCTGGGACCGAGGAGAACAGAGAGCTGAGGTCCAGGTTGGACAGCTGGTCCTGCCCGGCGCCTCCGGGCCCGGCAACCGACGAGTGGGCGGAGCTGATCAGCTCGCTGCTGGGAGTCAGGGAGGGGGTGGTCTCCATCTGGCTGAGAACATCTGCAGAAGGAGAGGAAAACGTTACACAGAACCAGAACCTGGACGCCAGTTCTGCCAAACGGCTCCCAGCCCCGAGCCGGGGTGTCTGGGTACCAACCAGGACTGAGGTGGTGGTGTTTGAGCATGTGGCTCTTCAGGCTGCTGCGGGAGGAGAAGTGCTTGGAGCAGTTGGCCACCGGGCAGCGGGTTCTCAGGGAGCTGGCATCCTGCTTATGCTTCTTGGAGTGAATGTACAAGCTGCTGCGTGCGGAGAATTTGGCATAACAACCTGAGGACAAGAAGCAGACGTTAAGGTCAGAATCCACAGCTGAACACAGCTGGAAAGTTAAAACCCATTTTCCACCATGGAGGGAATTCAATTGGCATTCATCCCTCATCTGAAGGGAATCCTGGTCGATGTTCTGCAGCTCAGGGAACATTTATCTAAACCAGTTTATCTCAGCTTAACGCAGCGGAGACAGCAGGAAACACAAAGCAAAAGAAGTAAAAACAGCCAGCGGGGCGACCATGCCTGGCTCCTGCTGGCCGTGCCACCAGGCAGAGGCTGGTAGCGTGGTTAACATCATCTATACTCAAACGCTGGATCCAGACACCGCAGTAACCTGGGATGGAATCACTACCAAACACAAGGATGGTTTCAATACTTTTGCTGTTTTATTTTATTGCTGGATTATTTATTAAAAGAATAATACATCAGAAAACCTTCAATCATTTTCAAATTGGGTTTTAAAGGTTTCATTTTACAAACCTATTAACTAGCATTTATGATTAAAAAAGATTGAAAAAGGTGATTTTTTTCTGCCTTTATTTCTGGATATTTTCTGGGTGTTGGGGTCGAACCCAAGCTGACCAGTTAGCTGACGGCTGGCTGTTAGCGTGACAGAAACATTTTATTTTATACATGCTTATTATGGTATGTAACCATAGCAACCTTAGGGAGTTAATTTTTTTTTTCTCTCACACCAGGGAGCAGCAGATTACCACCTCTGAAACTACAACTTGTTAAAAAACTGTTAGTACTAATTAGGGGTGTAAATAATAATCGTTTTGTATCGATGCATCGGATCGTCGGCTGTTGGATCGATGCATCGATACAAAACGATTATTATTTACACCCCTAGCCATAACCCTGATATAATCTGGAAGTATCGATTCATGTTTTTTTTTTTTCCTCCGGTCTATTTTTATCCATTTGCTCCTGGGCGTAATTCTCCTCCCGTGCTGCGGTGGCGCTAAACCTATTTTGCCCTCCTACCGCGCTTCCTGGTTATACTCTTACAGCAGTGTGTTGCAGCAAGCTTCACACAGACATTTTTAAATTATGCTCAGTATTGAAGCGTGGTCTGTGCTACACGCTGTGGGTCTAGATACGTCCGAGGCGGCGAGGAAGTGGGGGCGAGTTTAGTCCGACGACGGAGGGACATGAGGGCCAAAAAGAGCGGAGATCCAGGTAGAAAAAGGGTCCCAGCGTTCTCGCGCACCTCGCTCTTCTAGCGGGTCAAACTTCACGAGTTGTTTTCCGCAATTTCGGTCATAAAAACAAAACAAGCCGGCCTCCTGTCTGCGGTCAGCTACAATCTGGGAGAGGAGCAGTGGAGCGTCTCTCAAGGTGACGTCGACACTCTGGAGCCTTCTTCTTCTTCTTTTTTTAATGGCGGTTGGCAAACAACTTAGAGGTGCATTACATTACCGCCACCTTCCAGAATGGAGTATGGACCAGACAAACTATTATATTCTCCCTAAAATACCCGTTCTTCTTAGAAAATTAAAAATACTCCCAAAAACTACATCCCCAGATGACCTTTGAAACAATTCCCTTATATGTAATTTATTTTTATTCCGGTCTAACTCTCTATGCAACATCTCTCTTTCCTGAGTATATTTATTACATTTTAAAAAAATATGTTGGACAGTTTCTCTGGAGCTGAGGTATTGCATTGAACTCATTACACTGATATTCTGCAGTATTTTTTGATGCAACTTTTCTACTTCTGTTATTTGCTGTTGTTTCTAAAGAAAATGAATAATGATATTACAGCTTTCATTGATTTATTTCAAACTTGAAACTTTGTTTAGCCTGTAAGGTGTAAAAAAAAAAATAATAATAAAAATTTAACCGATTAATCGAATCGTATCGTGGTGTATTCTTGAGTATCGAAAATAATCGAATCGTTGGGTCAGGAAATCGATACTGAATCGAATCGCCATGATGGATGTGATTTACACCCCTAGTACTAATAAAGGATAACGTTTCGATCGTCACAGAGAGGAAAAATTTCATTTAGTTCTCTGCCTTTTTCTTGTAATTTTATGACTTTACTCTCGAAATAAAAAAAATTATTTAAAAAAATCTCTAGTTTGGCCCCAATACTCCATCGTAGGAAATAAACATGGGAATGTAAAATATTTCCAGCATATTAGCTTCTTTTATTTCACTTTTACTTTGAAAGGCTTCAGACAGGGCAGCTGTTTGAGCGACGATGGTAACAGAGGTTGTAGATGTAAATCATCTGGAACATTACTGTTAGCGTCCAATATTAGTTAGCTCGTACCATGTGCTGTATATTCCAGTTTTATGATGCTCAAAGAGAGGGCAAAGGTCAGAGGCCAAAGAGGACACGTCTGTTTAATGGAGCATCGTTATCTAGCCGTCTAGCTTAAACGATTGAGACTCAGCCATGACTAGGGGTGTAAATCACATCCATCAAGGCGATTCGATTCAGTATCGATTTCCTGACCCAACGATTCGATTATTTTCGATACTCAAGGATACACCACGATACGATTCGATTAATTGGTTCATTTTTTTTTAACACCTTACAGGCTAGACAATGTTTCAAATTTGAAATATATCAATGAAAGTAATAAACTCACTCAACGGTTGAAGAGAAAATAACAAATGAAATTTCAGCTGTGTAGAAATAATGACTGAATTTTTTTTTAGGTCAAAAATGTGTTCTGAATATATTTTAACACTGAAACAGTAAGTACAAACATACAACATTTAAATTTCAGTGCCATTTTTAATTCAAATCCCAGCGACACAGATTTACTTCCATACTGTAATATCATTATGCATTTTTTTTAGAAACAACAGCAGATAACAGAAGTAGAAAAGTTGCACTCCACCAAATCCTATTAAAGCCTCATTCGCTGAAAAATAATAATACCCCTGCATTTTAGATTCTGAAAGGCCTTGCATCAGAAAATACTGCAGAAAATCAGTGCAATGAGTGCAATTCAATACCTCGGCTCCAGACGTCCCCCCCCCTCCACAAACGCTCCGCTGCTCCTCTCCCAGATTGTAGCTGACCGCAGACAGGAGGCCGGCTTGTTTTGTTTTTATGACCGAAATTGCGGAAAACAACTCGTGAAGTTTGACCCACTAGAAGAGCGAGGTGCTGGAGAACGCTGGGACCCTTTTCTCACCTGGATCTCCGCTCTTTTTGGCCCTGATGTCCCTCCGTCGTCGGACTAAACTCGCCCCCACTTCCTCGCCGCCTCGGCCGTATCTAGACCCACAGCGTGTAGCACAGACCACGCTTCCATACTGAGCATAAATCAAAAATATCTGCATCAAGCTCACAGCAACACACTGCTGTAAGAGTATAACCAGGAAGCGAGGTAGGAGGGCAAAATAGGTTTAGCGCCACCGCAGCACGGGAGGAGAATTACGCCCAGGAGCAAATGGATAAAAATAGACCGGAGGAAAAAAAAAAAAACATGATTCGATACTCTCGTGGACGTATTGATGCATCGGATCGTCGGCTGTTGGATCAAAGCATCGAAGCAAAACGATTATTATTTACACCCCTAGCCATAACCCTGATATAATCTGGAAGCCTGACCTCAGACCAGCAGACACTGTGTCTCCAGTAAACGTAGATTTCTAGGGTGAACCAACAGGGAGCTGATATCTGGGCTCTTGGTTCATACCAAGTGTTCATTACATGCCTGACGATGAGTTACCGCCCCTCTGCAGACGCCGCCCATACCTTCTGCATGGCACTGAAAGGGCTTGGTGCCCAGGTGGGTGATGCTGTGACCCTTCAGGTGCTCCGCCCTGGTGAAAGACTTCCCACATCCCTCCACTGGACAGACGAAGCGCCGGTCATCATCGTGCTTCCTGGTGAAAGAAGGCATAGACGCGCTTATTTCCCACATCAGCCACAAACAGATCCCTGCTGCTCTGAAGGTGCTCTTACCGTTTATGTCGGAGCAACTTTGACATGCTGGTGAAAGACCAGCCGCAGTCCTCCGAGTCACAGACGAAGGGACGCTCCCCTGGACAGAGAGGAGGAACAGAGACACGGTCACCATCAGGACGCTGCCTAGATCTGCCTCAGCACAGGTTCCTGGGCTGTTTACGGGAACATTTGTTGCTCTGCAGCTTCTCTTTTCTGCAGCGCCATGAGAGATGATGATTCAAAAGCAGCAGAATGCCAGCAGGTTAAAGTAGCCGCACTTTAAAACTGAGTTTATTAGAGGTTTCCGTCCTGATTATATGCAGAAGGAAGGACCAGGATTAGTCCTCTGCTTCATCCATTGAATCTGCCACCAGCTGGTCAGCTCCACTACAATCTAATGGTTATGGTTCTAAATATTATTCACCTAAGACGGGTTGAGCTGTTGCTCCTCATTAGGAGTTAAATAACAGACTCCTCAAAACATCAAAACTCATCCAACTACCAGTTTTAGTCCGTGAGGCAGACACCCTGTCTACTTTTAAGGCTAGGCTTAAAACTTTCCTTTTTGATAAAGCTTCTAGTTAGAGTGGCTCAGGTTATCCTGAGCTATCTCTATAGTTCTGCTGCTATAGGCTTAGACTGCTGGAGGACATAGGGACCCCTTTTTCATCATTCTGCTTCATTCTATCTCTATTCTCCCACTCTGCAGAATCTGTTAGTTCAATCTCTAACGTTCTGCTCTCTCTGCTTTTTCTCATAGTAGCTTCATCTGGTCTGTTCCTGTTTGGCTGTGACTCCATCCTGGAGAGAAATATCAGCTGTGCTGCTGCCATCAACACCTTTGTTTCTAGATGTTGGAGCTTGGCCTGTTTTCCAGTGTAGTCCTGTTTCTCTGACTGTGACTAACTGGATGTGCTCTCTTCATCCTCTGACATGGGAGCTGGCTCGGAGCTCGTCTGCCTGGCTGTGTGTTTCCTGGACGGGGCCGCCTGTGGAGCTGGTTGACAGTTGCCTTTTGTATCTATGCTTCTTTTTCTATGTCTGCTTCTGTCTCCTTGAACCCCAGTGGGCCTCAGCAGATGGCCGCTCACACTGAGCCTGGTTCTGCTGGAGGTTTCTTCCTGTTCAAAGGGAGTTTTTCCTCTCCACTGTCGCTACAAGCATGCTTAGTGTGAGGGATTGCTGAAGAGTCAATGAGTCGATGCAATCAGCTGGTTTTCCTTAGATAGAAAACTTTGAATCAATCTGACTGGATGATCTGGTGAACTGGAAAGTGACCTGAGATGACATGATGTGAATTGGAGCTATAGAAATAAACTGAATAGAATTCAGCAGAGAGGCTGGATTCTCTGAATTGTTACTTTATTATCATAAACATTAAGTAATTAGTTACATCAATAATCTGACATCAAAGATGACCATCTTTGATGTCATCTTTAATAAGTGGTCAGGACACTCTGCTGCTACCGTGGGGTTCAGAAGGGAACCGCTTGTTCTGGAGGAGTGAACTGTATCCCGCTGGGACTGGGGGTCTGTGGGACAGAGGTGAGACACAGCTGTGGACCAGCAGCACTCACGGCTTCCAGCAGCTTACCTGTGTGACTTCTCATGTGAATTTTGAGCCGACAGGCCTTGTCGTACGTCTTGTTGCAGCCCGGATAAGTGCAGGAGAACTGGCCCGTTTCTCTGAAATGAGTGCGATTGTGGGAGAAGAGTGCACTGAAGGTGATGAAGGTTTTCTCACAGCCTGTGGAGAAAACAATAAATCATTAATATCAATCAAAAACATCCGATGTTAAAGGAGAAGTTCGGTTTTTTACACTTTAAGCCCATTTTCTGTAGTGTCCAGGATGAAATCGAATGATCGACACCAAAAGTTTGACAATTGGTCCTGTCTCTGCTTTTTGGCTCATTTAGAATCCCCCCTGGCTGCTTTAGAATGGCTTCCATTGTGCATGTCCGATAATGTCCTTAAAACAACCTTAAACGTTATTTTTTTTAAATATGCTACTCACCGTGTCGTCAGCGCTGTTCAATGACGTTCCAAAAAAAGTTTCGTGAAGAAAAAACGTTCCTGTAGTGTTTTATTTAGCATTTTGCAAATCCCATTGAGTTCTGTTGGAATAGTCAATATCCCTTCGCCACAGGAAACGGAAATGGGGCCTGTTTACGCTTAGTTGTAGTCTTTTCGCTTCACTCTGTGTACTCCGACGTCGAGAATCAAGAATCCACCTTTCGTATTCCATTTTCAGAGTTTTTTAAAGTGTTTAACAGAGACGTTAGCACCTCGACGTCGGAGTACACAGAGTGAAGCGAAAAGACTACAACTGTGTAAACAGGCCCCATTTCCGTTTCCGGTGGCAGCGGAATATTGACTATTCCTACAGAACTCAATGGGATTTACAAAATGCTAAATAAAACACTACAGGAACGTTTTTTCTTCACGAAACTTTTTTTGGAACGTCATTGAACAGCGCTGACGACACGGTGAGTAGCATATTTTAAAAAAAGAACGTTTAAGGTTGTTTTAAGGACATTATCGGACATGCTCTATGCTAGCCATTCTAAAGCAGCCAGGGGGTGATTCTAAATGAGCCAAAAAGCAGAGACAGGAGCAATTGTCAAAATGTTGGTGTCCTTCATTCGATTTCATCCTGGACACTACAGAAAATGGGCTTAAAGTGTAAAAAACCGAACTTCTCCTTTAATAATAATACTTTATCAAAACTTTTCTAACATTCTGCAGTATAAAGCCGTTAATAAAACCCTGGGTGATGTTGTATCGCGTCCATTGAGTCCTCAGCCAATCCTCAAAGCTGAATATCGGTATCGTATTGGAAATTAAGTATCAGGACATCCTTAGATTTCAGACCAGTTTGGACCAGCTGATTGAGAAGTCCTGGATTTAGACAGGGTCCCAAAGTCTGCTTCTCACAGACAGAGAGAGAGGACACCCCCAACACCCCATCATTTAACTACAACCGCGATGCTAGCTTATTTATGACCATGATGCCAAGCTAATGAATAGGGGAGAGATGGGGGAAAAACATTTCATCATTTCATTTCATTTTCAATTTAAACATGGATATGAAATAATACAATATAAACTTATATATATGTATATATATATATATATATATATATATATATATATATATTAGTGCTGTCAATCGATTACATTTTTTCAATCGCGATTAATCGCATCAATGCCTGAGTTAACTCGCGATTAATCGCATTTTAATCGCAAATTTTTTTTCTGATTGAAAATCATTTAAATACTCTCGATGACATACAAAAAATACATACAGGCTAGGTTTGTGCCAATGTTCTTTTTTTAAAATGAAAACAGGTCACAGATACTGATTTATGCCATAGAAACATATGGCAAGAAGATGGGGAGGCATGTAGCAAAAAATAACAAATATGTAGCCAAAAAAAAGGCCCTGAAAACAGGCTGATGTAAAAGACAGTCTTTACAGTTAATACAGTCTTTTGAACAAAGACAAGCATTTTACCCTACTGCTATAAAATGCAGTACAGTTAACATTAGATGTTAATTAACCAAGATAATAATGAACAATTTTCAATCAATACATCAAAATCAATAGACCGACATCACTAGATGGAGGTAGTCTATGCTCTAGAAAGTTACTTTTCAGACTCTTAACAAAAATGAGAACACACACACACCCACCCACCCACACACACACACACACACACGATACTGACCTGTGGCGTACACAGACAGCAAGAGTGCCGTAGCAGATTCCATTTCACCTCAGTAATCTGTTTTCTCAGCGTATTTCAGGTTGCTACTAGTTACCAGACACTCAACTTGTTTGTTGGTGGTGGGGCTTAAAGAAAAGGCACTAGCGCCACCCAGTGTATGAGCGTCTTTTTTCCCTTGAGGAGCTCCGCTCTTGAAGCCTATGAGAAATGCATAGACTGGGGGAAAATAGCCCCGCCTTCCCGCAGGCTGCAGCGGGATGTACTTGGAAAATTGTACCATAAAACCACATAGCGTTAATCTCACGTTAAAAAAATTATCGCCGTTAAAATGGCCTCGCGTTAACGCGATAATAACGCGATAATTTTGACAGCACTAATATATATATATATATATATATATAACCTTATACCATTGTAACAGGTCATCAAATCAATTCAGTTTAATCTGTCCAATAAGGTGTCAGTATTCTGTGAGAAAGTTTTACCGCAGCATCAATACAGTTTGGCTTCAAGATGCCTCATTAACCATCACTGGGGCACTATCATTTCCGCGATCACGGAAATGGTAAATTAACGCGGAATTTCTACATTTGAAATGAAATTCTGTTTTTGTGTGGGAGAGGAACGTACGTCGGGGGGAAATACACACCGGAGGACGCAAATCTGGGCGACACAACCCCTCCCACTCCGTCATTTCCGCTCACCCTCCCCCATCAAAACATTGAAAAAATGAAGAAGCGGCTCTCCACAGCTCCACTTTCGGCGAAAAAGTTGAGAAACACGACGCTAAGCCCCGAGTACAGAGCCGAGCAGTTCCCTCATGACTTTTACAAGTCGGGTGAACTATCGTTTCATCAACATTCCATCGATTGGAGGCGCAAAAATAATAAACGCACTGGCCACTGGTCATCCAAAAAAAAAAACTGAATTTGCAAAAATTAAAATGTAAAAAACAGAATTTTCCAAAATTTAAATGGAATTTGGGGAAAAAAACAGAATTTATAGGGCCCTACATCACTACCAGTTAGCATGTGCTTTTTATAAATCTAATGAAGTGCGATGACCGACTGCCTTTGGAAGTAAGGCAGCTCCCCTCGGCTCTTTGCTAATAATTTGGTGAACAACGTCGAACAACGTTAAGCATTTATAGTGAGTTTTGAGATGGAACCAGAGTGGAGGCAGGTTAACTGCATGAGCGCACACAGAACAAAGAGACGTTTGTTTTTAACTTGGCTTCACCATCCTGCAGCTACTTTGTTATTCCCTGGATTTTTTCTGGATATTGGTCGTCAAGATAGACGACTAATCGAGAAATCTGTGGAAAGATTGGTCATTAGAAAATGAGTGGTTGGTGCCAGCCAGGCTTTAATCTAGGACTATCGCATAGGGTGTCCACCTCAGTGGTAGGGGGGGTCCTCCACAGAAAATATTAGACTCTGAAACTTTCCTGCATTTAGTGGTGGAATGTAGCTAACGTTTTGTCTTTGATCCAACACTACTGTAGTCCTGAATATGGGAAGGATGTGTTTGACTGGAGGTGGAAATTTCCTAAGGAAGACATGAGATCATTTTTAGAGACAATATTATGTTTCATAGGTTAATTCAACCAATCAGAACGTCTAATGCCACGTTCACACAGAATGCCATCAAAGCTTCTGCTGCTTCATTTCTAAAACTTTAAGGTCAGACGTCCAGTAAAGTGAGTCCAGATGCTTCTGCTGCTCCTGTGTTCGATGCCAGAGAGCAGCTTTGCTATATTAGCTGTGATCAGCGGGTAGAAAGTAGTTAGAATCTATGTTGAAGTGAGAAAGTCCTCCTGAAAACATGGTCTGTGCAGTCAGTTCATCCAGATTACCATCCTGCCTTCAAAGATTATTTCTCTGTGGGAGCCGCTCAGACCCCCACATACCGGCGCTGCGCTGTCACTGGGAATCCCCAGCAGCAGCTGCCTCAGGCCCGCTCGCCTCTCCAGGGTTTTCCCCTCCTGTTGGTGGCGGCTGGAAGTAGATGTTAGCGTTTTTCAGGTCTGTGCTACAAACTGCTAACCAGACAACAGCCAGATGCATGTCTCGCTCCGCCTAGCTCCACTCACATACATCTGGGAACCCGCCATAGGAATTGCCTTTACTGAAGGCTGGGCCTTATCAAAACTCTTTGCATATGATTGGATAAGCCACTTGTCTGTCATCTTTATTGACGTGCTATTTCAACCACTCACACCGAAGCTAACCCGTGACGCTGTGAGAGGAGGAGCCATTTGGTAGATCAAAATCTTGCCAAATCCGGTCAGGAGAAGGGCGAAAACATCGTTTCCACCAACAAAAGCCTTCAAAGCTGTTCTCTGATGTTCTTTTGATGAAACAATATCAGATAGATTGGACAACACAGAAGAAATAGCAGCATCAATGCTAACGCTTGCTTCCTCAATGCGAGCCGCCATTGTTGTTGGAATCTCACGGTCGCTTCTCCACTCCAGGACACACCCACCCTGCGTCCTGATTGGACAGACCATAAATTCGGTTGGGGAAATCACTTTCAATGAGCGGGTTCCCAGATGTATGTGAGTGGAGCTGGGCGGAGCGAGACATGCATCTGGCTGTTGTCAGGTTAACAAACTGCAGGCAGCAGGATAATAAAAGCCAACATATTCTGCCGGCAGGTTTCTACATTTGAAGTTAATTTAGGCGTTAATAAACTGTTTCAGAGGAGTGATCATAGCGCTCTGCATCAGCAGTGCTGCGTCTGACTCCCTGCCAGCTCCCAGATCAGCTGCTCTGATTGGTTGATGAGGCGCATCCAGCAGATAACGTTTCTAACTCCAGCAGCTGCTGCTTGTGAAAGTTTGAACATTTTAGGAAAGTTTCTGGGGGAAAAACAGGCAAACAATTTGTACTTCTATCAATAAAGGCCTTTCAGTGTACGGATGGACGTATTGCTAGCTAAAAGCCTAGTGGCAGATAATTGTTACTTTGAAAGTTTTTGGACCAATAGTTATTCATCTAGATGTGAATTACATCCCGTTAATAGATAATATAAATCTTAATCTGTGTCACTGAGTATTCTCATAAAGGTTTGTTCTGATGTCGCCTGGTGGATACAGTTCTCCATCACCAGGACTTCCTTCCAGAAGAACCCAGTTTCTTCCAGAAGTGGGACGACCTACCAGGGTATTCACACTTGTGCGGCCTCTGTGGAGCGAAGTGGACCCTCTGGTGATTGGTGAGGCGGGTGGCGCTGCGGAACTTCTCGCTGCACACCTCGCAGATGAAGGCGTTCTCCTGCTCGTGGACCTTGACGTGAGCCTTCAGGTTGTAGACGGTGGTGAACCTGCGGCCGCAGCCCTCAAACTCACAGGTGTGAGGTCTCTGCTTGTCATGGGACTGGATATGGCGCTTCAGTTTGTAGGAGGTGGCGAAGGCCCAGCCGCAGCCCTCCACACTGCACTGGTACGGCCGCGGTTCCTCTGTGTGGTTCAGCAGGTGGACCTTCAGCTTCTGCCGAGAGTCGAAGGCAGAGGAGCAGCCTGGTTCTGGGCAGGTAAAGGTGGCTGCAGCGTCCTTCCTGGATCTGATGAGCTGCAGGGACTCTTCGCTGTTACACCCCCCCGCCGGGGCTTTTGGGGATGGAGCGATGAGGTCCGCCTCGGTCACCACGCACAGCTCCCCAGCTTCCTGCTTCACAACAGAGCAGGAGTCCAGTGAAGGGCCCAGTTGTGGTAGGGAGCAGTCCTCCTCCAGCGGGGCCAGCTCAGAGTCAGGTCTGGGCTCCTGCTGCTGGCTGGCCGCTGCCAGGGTGCTGATCTTCCCGATAGATTTAGTCCCACTGTCATAGTTGAGGAGGACAATGTCCTCATGGTCCTTCATGCCCAGATGCTCCTTCAGGCTCACCATGTCGTCCTCTTTGTGGACAAACCCCTCAGGAGGGGCCGCCAGAGTCAGGACCCCGTTCTCAATAGTAACGATGATGCTTTGGTTGTTGATGGTGATGGTTCCGGAGAAGGTGTCCCCGGCAGGAGGGCCGCTGTCCTCAGCTCCCGCTGCCTCCATGGCTTCCCGCGGGATCAGCGCCGCTTCCGGCTCCGCTCGGCTCTCCTCGCCGTTTTCCGTGCAGATCTGCCCACAGATCTTGTCGCCATATTTGTTGGTGAGAACAACATCTTCCACGGTGTGGCGGTCCGGATCCTCGCTCACTAAGCTGAGATCGGCCCTCTTTAGTGTCTGCGGCCCCGCACAGCACAGGCTGTCACCGCCTCCCTCCGCCGGGGCTCTGCTCCCGGAGCCCCCCGCCTCTGCTCGGTCGCCCTTTAACGCAGCAAACTGCTCCTGCGGCCGCCTTTCAGCTTTCCTCCCCGGCTCGCCGTCAGCCTCGCGCTGCTGCCGTGACCCCGGAGCTTCCGCCTCTCCGTCGAACAGCGCCATCTGCATCGCCTCCCCGCTGTCCTCAAACCTCCACTCGGTTCTGCTCAAGTCCTGGGAGCCCAGAAGGGCGCCGAACACGTTCTCTTTCTCGGCGTCCATCACGTTATGAAGCCCCAGAGGCGCCCGGTCCTCGGCTGCTGGTCTGGTTGTTGGTGAACCAGCCCCCCCGCTGCCATTTTCCCCCAGCAGGCGAAACGGAGCGCTCTTCGGCCTGGCGTTGTTGTTGCTGTCGCTGCGGGGCTCCGGCGGCTCCAGCGGGCTGACTGTCTCATTTCCTAATGAATTCAATGGCGGCAACAAGGCTACGGCGGAGCGGAGGGCAGCCGGATCGCTTCTGTGGAGGGCGCCATGTTGAGAGTGGATGTTTTGGGCATCAGAAAGCCCCTGGATTTCCATCTTGGTATCCCTGTAGCAGCAGCAGCCGCCCCGCCCTAATGACGCGCCGTCCATCTCACCGCAGGCCGGCTGCTGCGTTCAGGGCCTGTAGGAAACATAAGTGATTCCCCTGAAAATACCGTTTTACTGCTTACATTGTCATCAGGATAGCTTTATTTTTAAAATAATGTTTAAAGTAGATATCAATATGCATCTAAAATTGGTAGGATTTAACAAGATAAATCTATTCAGTTTCCAGACTTTCATCTGTCAAATACTAATAAAAGCATCATCACAGAGAATCTGTCAGGTGATGATGATATCTGTAGACGGTGTAGAATCTTCTATGCTCAGGCTAATTCTTTGTAAATGTGGCGCATGCACTGATAAAAGTGGAACTATTTAATGCATAATAAACCTCTCTGCACACGGCTCACCTGTGCTCTACATACAAACAAATTCAGCCTGCAAAGGCTACAGGTGGCCTATAATGATGCTCTGCAGCTACTTTTGAAATGGCCAAAATGAACTAGTGTAAGGGAGATGTTTGTCAGAGCAAGACTCGATATCTTACAGTTCATTGTATAGTTTTATCTGTAGGATAAATGCATCTGGCAATGATTGCATTGTCTTGTCACTTAATGACACCAAACGTAGAGCAATCTGATACCAGTCTGAGCTGTGGAGTCACTGGTATTCCTGTCCCCTTAAAGCTCCTATCTTTTATAAGTGTAACTTCTACTTGTTTTGTACTATCCTACCTGAATTGTTTTATTTTTATCTGATATATTTATTGGACCATGAGTCGGTGAGTCTGTCTGTCTGTCTGTCAAACACCTCTCCAAACCCACATACAGGTGCTGGTCATAAAATTAGAATATCATGAAAAAGTAGATTGATTTCAGTAATTCCATTTAAAAAGTGAAACTTGTATATTATATTCATACATTACATACAAACTCATATATTTCAGATGTTTATTTTGTTTAATTTTGATGATTACAAATGACAACAAATGAAAATCTCAAATTCATCATATCAGAAAATTAGAATATTACTGAAGACCAATAAAAACAAAGGATTTATAGAAATGTTGGCCAACTGAAAAGTATGAACATGAAAAGTATGAGCATGTACAGCACTCAGTATTTAGTTGGGCCTCCTTTGGCCTGTATTACTGCAGCAATGCGGCGTGTCATGGAGTCGATCAGTCTGTGGCACTGCTCAGGTGTTATGATAGCCCAGGTTGCTCTAATAGTGGCTTTTAGCTCTTCTGAATTGTTGGGTCTGGTGTATTGCATCTTCTTCTTCACAATACCCCATAGATTTTCTATGGGGTTAAGGTCAGGAGAGTTTGCTGGCCAATTAAGAACAGGGATACCATGGTCCTTCAACCAGGTACTGGTAGCTTTGGCACTGTGTGCAGGTGCCAAGTCCTGTTGGAAAATGAAATCTGCATCTCCAAAAAGTTGGTCAGCTGCAGGAAGCATGAAGTGCTCTAAAACTTCCTGGTATGTGGCTGCGTTGACCCTGGACCTCAGAAAACACAATGGACCAACACCAGCAGATGACATGGCACCCCAAACCATCACTGACTGTGGAAACTTTACACTGGACTTCAAGCAACGTGGATGAAGTGCCTCTCTTCTTTTCCTCCAGACTCTGGGACCTTGATTTCCAAAGGAAATGCAAAATTTACTTTCATCAGAGAACATGACTTTGGACCACTCACCAGCAGTCCAGTCCTGTTTCTCTTTAGCCCAGGCAAGACGCTTCTGACGCTGTCTGTGGTTCAAGAGTGGCTTGACACAAGGAATGCGACAGCAGAAACCCATGTCTTTCATACGTCTGTGTGTGGTGGTTCTTGAAGCACTCACTCCAGCTGCAGTCCACTCTTTGTGAATCTCCCCCACATTTTTGAATGGGTTTTGTTTCACAATCCTCTCCAGGGTGCGGTTATCTCTCTTGCTTGTACACTTTTTTTGACCACATCTTTTCCTTCCCTTCGCCTCTCTATTAATGTGCTTGGACACTGAGCTCTGTGAACAGCCAGCCTCTTTAGCGAAGACCTTTTGTGTCTTGCCCTCCTTGTGCAAGGTGTCGATGGTCGTCTTTTGGACAACTGTCAAGTCAGCAGTCTTCCCCATGATTGTGTAGCCTATAGAACTAGACTGAAAGACCATTTAAAGGCTATTGCAGGTGGTTTGAGTTAATTAGCTGATTAGAGTGTGGCACCAGGGGCCATCAATTTTGAACCTTTTCACAATATTCTAATTTTCTGATATGATGAATTTGAGATTTTCATTTGTTGTCATTTGTAATCATCAAAATTAAACAAAATAAACATCTGAAATATATGAGTTTGTATGTAATGTATGAATATAATATACAAGTTTCACTTTTTAAATGGAATTACTGAAATCAATCTACTTTTTCATGATATTCTAATTTTATGACCAGCACCTGTATTTTTACTAGGGTTTGGGGCTCAGCATTTATGGTTTCTAAAGGTTAAAGATTGTCAAATTATTTATTATCAACGGCAGTTAGATCCAAAACAGTCACTGTGTCATTAATCTAAGAGAAGCTACATTTTAAACTTTAATGGTGGGTGAAAACACCTCATAAATAGCAATACCTGAACAAAAGAGAAGTGTAGTTTCACAGAGTGTCCTCTAGGTGGCAGTGTAACACCAACACACTGAAAACAATCTAAATCTAGATAAGTCATTTTTTTTATTAAAATAAATGTATTTGTTCTTTGTTTGAGGAGATAAAAGAGACATTTTGCCAATGGAACAAGACAATTTACATTTAAAATAAGAAAACACAATTGCACTGTCTTACTTCAAGAGCATATTATCTGATTATCTTATTTTAAGAGTAAAAATACTAATTCCTTTGGCAAACTAACTCATTTACCTACTCAAATTAAAGTAAATACACTTAATTTTAGACATTTTTTTACTTATTTCTAGAGGGTTCAGTGTAAATTGGAGCAGTCTCCAGGCTATAATTTTAAATGAAACTCATTTAGAGTTTTTATTAGCCTAATAGGTTAGATTATAAAAATGACATTAAAATATGTTTGGAAAATACAGATTTGTAAATATTGGAGATTAGATCACACCCAAACAGAAGCTAAACCTGGAAAACAAAAGTAATATGCATAAAAATGTATGCAGACCAGGAGCAAACTTGGAATAAGTCTGTCCTTTCAATGATCTGTACTTTATTTAACCATGTTTGCATTTGGTCTTAGTATAACACATGGAGGAAACACATGGACTGGAAAGAAGGAGTAAACAATATTTCTTAAGATGTTTATTTCAAAATGTCCACAAAGTGTAACAAACTCGGCATGCTTCATAAAAAATACCCAACAGTTTAGTTGTATAGTACGGTTAAGTATTGCTTATCATCTTAAATACATGCATCTTCAAATACATGATGCTCAAATCTACATGTTGGGTTGTCATGCTGGCATGTCATGTTGTTGAAGTAAACTGTATAAAACTTAAAATAAATGTTAAAGAACAAACGCCGTACAGTGGGCAAGTCAAAACAGAGGAATGCCATTTGAAGTAATAATCAGGTAGAGAAGAAGATATGCATTATAACGGATGGCAGCACCAGAGGAAGGTGAGCATGCAGAAGGACAGATTTAGCATCACCACAGAAATAAGGCCACAAATCCATCCTTTCTCCGAAACTAGGTGATGTTTACTAAACCTTTAGACAAAACCAGATAAACCAATTTATTATTTGTAGATCTTCTGATGGCGTGATGAAATACGGGGGATATTATAATAGGGGCTAAAGGACAAACTCAAGAACACAAAAAAAAAGCAGTCATATTATTGCATTGCCATAACTTTCACAGTATCTGAAACGTGTCAGGGCCCAGAGAGCTCAGCGCACAGAGGTACATTAATATTCATAATCAATACCAAATAAATGCAAAACTATGTCAGATAAATGAGAGAAAGAGAAAAAAAGGGCAATGAAACAAAATACACTGCAAAAAATTGAAATCTAAATAATAATTTTTACTTAAACTACCGTATATCCTCTAATATTGGCCTGTTTCCATTAGCAGTCGGGTCTCTAATAATGGCCTATCTGGCTGTCGGCAGAGACGATGTTCCTGGGCAGTCCTCAAAGACTTGTGATAGTAACATACAAGTACCACAGGGGGACAGTGTTTGCTAACGAATCCAAGCCATTAGCATGGGATGTCCCATCCTTAGCGCAGACAGTGCCGCAGACAGGAGGCCGGCTTGTTTGGTTGTTATGACCGAAATTATGACCCAGGAGTATAACCAGCCAAACAATCGTCCTGATCAGAAAGACAGATGTGATTAGCGGTAGGTCTTCTGGTAACCAGGCAGCGTTAAAATTACAGAATTTCGTTGGCCTTCGTTTTTCTGAATTTCCCTTGAAATAGATGATACTGGTTGCCTGCCTACTTCCACTTAGCCTGCCTAAAAAATATTTCGCTGTGATGGCAGAACAGTTTCCGTTAATTTATTTTTAAACTTTGTTTCGCAAGTCAGTTTGGCCAAGATTCAATTTTTTTCGTATTGCCGTGCAGAAGAATTACTGCTGCTGGAAGATGTTCTGTATACCGTTACGGTAACTGTACTTTTTCAATAAATGAACCTAGTATTTTATAGGTTCAAAGAGACACAAAATCTCTTTTTTATTCATTCCACTGGTAGTTTGTTTGATCAAATAGAAATAGAGGCCTGCCTCTAATTCTGGCCTCCTTCCAATAATGGCCTGGACCAAGATGCACCTGAGCGAAACAAAGCCTATATTAGAGGATTTACGGTAAGAGCATTTGGTCTTGAATTGAAGAGGTAAGTGAGACGCTTTGCCAGTGGAACAAGACAATTTACATTTAAAATAAAAACAAACCATTGCAATGTCTTATTTCAAGTTCTATCCAATTATCTTATTTTAAGAGTAAAAATATTCCATTGGCAAATCTTCCTATTTACCTGCTCAAATGAATGCTAAATAAGACATTTTTTCTTATTTCTAGCTTGTTTTTGCAGTG